TGTTTTATTTCATATTTTGTACATCTTGTATTTTCCCATAGCTCTAAAACAAAGGGCTTAAATCAACAATCTCGGGAGCCGTCTCCGCAGTATCTCCTCACGTGGATCGGACCCTGACTTTACGACATATCTGAACATTCGTGTTCACCTTTATACCCGTACCGTTTCATTTAAATACTCGGACATGAAATGTTTCGGTATTAAACAAGGAAGAAAATTTATTATAAAAAACCTCACGTGACATTATTATTGCTTTAAAGGTCTATAAATATGATTTTGCTACAATATCAACGTTTTAATGTGCAAACGAATAGTCCGACCACCACGGGTTGAGGTATCACAAAGCAACGATTTAAAGTGTATAATAATAAAGATCCGTAAAGAAATAAAGTTTTACAACGGATATCGGCATAATGGCGACGCGAGTAAGGATAGACAATGGTGGAGCAAAATGTAATATTATATGAGTTTCGATTTATGATCACCTACGCTTTGGTGAGATCGCGATCGCACTAAAAATGGAAGGTTGGTGTGCAAGTACTGAGGATCAATAACAAGCCAAGAAAATAATATATAAAGATATTCTTACAATGAATGAATTTATGTACAGTTTATGAATACTTATATAAACACTGAACTCAAATGGTAACTTAGTGATTAAAGTAATCATAGGAGTAGTGTAAGAAAACTATTTTCTTCTTTCTTCTTCGGATTTTCTTCTTTGCACACTAAGATGTGAACAAAAAGAAAATGGTGTCAAAATAAGCTCTACACTAAGGATGGTGTTCTTCTTAGAACTCCGATTTTTTGATACTAAAATTCTAGCACCCCCAAAAGAACTGCAACGATCTTGTTCGTCCTCTGCTGTGCGGATATACATATGTCGCACCGAATTCTTACAATCAGATGGTCCATGGTCTCGTTTGCCACCGTATTAGAGAATGTAAGTTGCATTTAGAAAAATGAAGAATTCTCTTTGCAAACTATTGACGTCGACAACAAACCGTGGGTGAAACAGTTTAATAATTAAAGGATATCGTAATTGGATTGAGCTCACTTCTCCAGAACTTTCTATTTCAGAGGCATCTCTTTGACGTCGTCAAATATAAATTATTTATTTCCATTTAAAAATCTTGGTAAGTGATCTAGTCTTGATTTAGATACCTTAATTGAATAGGATGGGATTCAAAAATTTACTCTATTGAGTTGGTATCAGACTATAATTTTGTACAATACATTCTTCATAAAACAATTTATCCAACATTCGAAACTAAATTCAAAAGAAAGATTTCTAAATTGGAATGTATTTTTACATCATTTCATCTTTTCTTTTGAGCGTTGTAAGTTGTATTGCCATAGAGGGTCATTTAAAAATTTTGACCGATTGACAATGAATGAAAAAAAGGAGGCTTCAAGATTTGTATGCGCTAAACTAAATCTAAAAGTCAAGACAAATGTTTAAACATTTCAGCTTTACCTAAAACCCTACATCTTAGCGTAAACACAGACATTGTTACACAAACTTAAGCCTAAACTAAAACATGAATGGGGGAGCTTGAATGAAACCAGTTGCTCCATAAGTTACTGGCGACGTATCACTGGTACGGCCATAAGTCACTGCTTGCGAAATCGACGCCCTAGCAAGGCTTTGAGAATGACTGGACTTCAATTACAAAACAGTAGCATCTTATTTTATTAAGCCGGTAGGGTTCTCAGTACTACAGTACAATGATTTAATATTATGTTAATAATGTTCACCCAATAAATATAGATATCCGTATAAAATTTGTTATGAGATAGAATCACTTTAAGGAAGTTGGAACGTTTTTAAATAATTAAGTACATAAATTGTACGGATGAATTTATTAAGTACATACTTAATATCCCAAAATATGTTCTTGATTTTTCAATCCAATTAACTAGCTCCGTTTTAAAAGTTTGGCTTTTTAAGATTTTCTGAAGTAAGTTACTCACTAAAAAAGGAGTTTGACTTCGAATCAATAAGTATTATGTTAGTAATATGTATGTACATCACCCAGACACGGAACAACGATATCTGGATTGCATAAAGAGTTATCCGTGCGGCACAAAAACTCGCAATTGCTCAGCTTCCGCGCCGACCGTACAGTCCATCCAGCCTATTGCTACCTATAAGTACCGATAAGGGTTTAAAAAGCCTATAATGCTCATATTTTAACTTAAAAATAATGAAGAAATATAGAAATGAGAAACAAGTTATACTAGTGATGTAACTAAGGTTATTAACATCTTGTATTGTGATTCAAAATGACATCAAGTGATTCGACCGAATTGCACAAGATTATGAAAGAAAAATGCAATTTTCAGTACGAAATCACACAGATCCACTAATACAAACCGCCAACATAAACTGCGTACACCTTTCTAAATAAGTTTTGCAACTATTAAATTCCATACTAATGTATCTTTGCACATAACTGTTTATAGATTTTCGTGGGTGTACGATATTAAAACGTTAATTTTCCACTAAAATATCTATAACCAATAAGTTTAATTCCAATGAGTTTTTGTGTTTACGACTCCTTAAATGATAATAATATGAATGCTGAATGTAAGTACAGAAAATCAATTACATTTACAATTACTACGTGTAGGAAATAGGACAAGATTATACAATGTAATGAAATATTTTAAGACGTAAAATCGGAGTGGGTAGTCTATAAATTATTATTATTATTATTTGTTAGATAATATTTCCTCCAAATGACGCGGTTACTGGGAATTTATTTTCTATTATTATGTCTTAATTCATTTAGTCAACAATGAAAATCTATTTTTGAAAACACAACTTGGTTGTTTATTGGTCGTTGAGTGATTTAGGTTTTTTTTCTATGGAATTGGATGCAAAAATGCAGACGGATCACCGGATGGCAGCTAATCAGTGTTACCCATGGACACAACTGTGCTTCATGTTAGTCTTTAACATAAGGCACAGTTGACACTTTAGAATAAAAAAAATAAAATATTTGAGTGAATTAATACTTTCCGATTCTTAAAATAAAATGTAAATCTGGGTTTTACATAATTGTAAGAATATTTTTAAAAGATTCATCAATAAAATTGTTCTAGGAAGACCTTTCGTGTCTATGAAATTAAAGATATTTATCGCAAAAACAGGATGGCTTATAACAGCCATGGTTACGCGTCAAGCGTAATCATGTACTTCGACCCCAGCCCGGAGTATGAGAAGCAACGGGTAGTTTTTAGTCAGTAACAGTCTGATACTTTTGGATAAGAGCCAGTACAAGAGGGAGTCAGTTGATGATTTTTCCCCTCAAAATATGTAACAGGTACCCATATTGTTGAGTTAAGAAACTCCAGGCAAAAAACAAAAATACTTCATTACCTGTGATTTATTAATTAATACCTAATAAGTGTGGGAGTTCCGTGTTTCAGCACGGAAGGGTCGGCTCGACCGGATCGATACCACGCGTGAAATAGCCACAATGTTGTGTTTCGCCATGTTAATAAGATTACCAGAGGCCCAATCCTTCCCCTTCCCAATGCCTAAATCTCCAAATTCCTAATCCCCAAAAGCTTGGCAACGCACTCGTAACTCCTCTGTTGTTACAGGTGTCCATGGGTACTTACCATCAGGTAATCCGTCAGCTAGTTTGCTGACCCATCACATAAAAAAACTCTCATTGTCAAATTCTTAGGTGTTACCAGTGCCTATATGTGATTTTGATTTTGTCACTGGATTTGGTGGTTTTAAATATAGTGCCAAAATAGTCAAACCGTACAAGAAACTCTACATTGAATCTACCAACAATTAAGTATTACTGGCACGTTTCCAACCATCTATTAGACTTCAACTACCATTTAGTAAGTATATAGCATAACAATAAACGTTATTATTTCCAGACCAATTTGTAACATGATAACCACTACTGGGGATATGTTTATTGAGATGTAAGTAAGGTTTACGATTCAGCTGCGCGGGAGCGCTTTCTTTGGACCTCGCACGACAGTTATATTTATTTATAACACCTTGAATATTCCATTCATGACATCAACTGGGTAGGTTACTGGGTACCTCTGTTTTGGTTTTTTGAGATAGTCTCAATAAAGAAATGTCTTTTTTTTGCAATTTTTGAACGCACCCAACTGAAATTCGGATAACTCGGCTAGGCACATCAACCTGCTAGACCACCATCTTGGTGGTCTGTCAAGACCACCAAGATGGTGGTCTAGCAAGTCTAGCAAGTCAAGATTTCTCTGGAACGAAGTCTCAGTGCTAAGCCTCACTTCAAGCGTATTTAGCAAAAAGTAGTCCATTTAAAATGGGGGCGACAGATAAAAATAACTGATTTTTCAAATAATAATTATTGTTGAATATATTACTAAAATAGGTTTTAAATAGATTATTTACGTATATTAAGACGCACGAATTTCGACTTCAAGTAAGTTGAACGAAAGCTTAATTTTAATTGTCCATAAATTCAATAAAAACGCTGTACCCTCTACACCCTCACAGTAGGTAGAAGGTAAAGCGGACTTCTATTGTGAGTTCAATGTAAGGGAACGCAGTATATTTCACTGTTGTACTGACCATTGAGGCCGTTGAGAACTTAATATTTTAATCTTATCGCCCAGTGCTGCTCCCCGCGACAATGAACTAGTTACACCGACCATCCTTTATTCAACAATTTTACGCCACTTTAGGATTATGCTGTCTATGTAGGTAGTCAAATAAGAGCGCGCAAGATTTATATTAAAAAATATTTATTTAATTAATACACGTCTGCTCAGCATGAGCTTTAAGATGACAATGAACTGATCTGAACGCTTAAATCTAGGTTACATGAGCTTATATACTACTTGAGGGCTTTTACATGTGTGTGTCTGTGTCTGGACCTCACAGTTGGCCAGCAACAGCAATCTGTCGATCACATTTCTCTAACTGTTTTGGCAAACATTAATTTTATGAGAATTAACAATTAGGAACTTAAGTCTAGTGGTTACTTGGAACCGCTGGGTGGCATGGCGTGATCTTTGCTTATGGTAACTATACGAGGAAAGGATTGGCTACACATAACTCCTCCCTCCGTAAGTGCAAAATCATCATCCGAAGGTTCATCACGAGGCTGATGATTTTGATTCGGCTTACGTACTAATACATGTCTATAACGATACATAGCTATCATTAACATAATAAGTAAAATGAGGTAAATTACAATAGTTCCTATACTAACACTGTGCACATTCACAAAATGCCCTTCACTATTTATCACTTCACTGTTGTCTTTTAAGGCGTGTGATAGAAACTGTAGATTTTCTAAGTTGATCTCGTCTAGGCTGATAGTTTTCCGTGGCACGGTGTCCTTTGGTGTCATGATGCTAGGTAAGTGTATAGCTGGTGAGCTGCGGAATTCAACATCTCCTGTCTGGAGACGGTGTTTTCTTAAAGTTGTTGTACCAAGTTTTACTTCACAGGCGTTGTTCAGGGTTATGATGTAGGTGCCCATGATGTCGTGTTGGCTCATGTCGTTGCCGCAGTATTCTGTTAAGAATGTAGAGAAACCTGCGAAAATTATCCAAGAGTCTGGTTGTATGGCTTTTACTTTAATCGTAGATGCATTTACTGGTACAGGCAGGCACGATGTTATCTTCATAGAGAACGTCATCAAATCTGTAATGCATTTGCTTTCCTCTTCTGAAGATACGTTGCTGTCGTAACAAAGGAACTTTCCTTCGTCTATTTCTCTGCAAGGCTGAGAGAGCGATACTATTTTCGACCCTTTCGCAAGGATATGGGAATGTTTAGGTGTTAATATGAATGATAAGTCAAGGTGGGAATTGTACATAGGAAAAGGATGTAAGGTATAATAATTATAGACATCTGCTTGGACCGTTGGTACTGACATAATAAAAGTTATTTGTTTGCCTTTTACATAAGCTTTGATATCAATACAATGTTCAATATTAACTAAGTTTTCAATAGTCACAGGAAAAGGTAGCCTATCCGTTTTCTCAATGTCTATGAGAATGTTAAATAGTTCAGTTGTATTTAATATAGATTGATGCAATACATTAACTCTACTAAATGCTACTGCTGTTTCTACTTCATCTAAGCGGGTTAATAATATTTGAAAGTTATGAATTAACATATTATATGTATTTAAAACAAGGCTCTTACTTCTTTGGAACTGGGTGTTATTCAAAATTTCTTCAATTTCCTTAATAGTTTTTTCTAATATTATAAAGTTGTTTCTCGTTGAGTTGGTAATGTTAACAAATGTATCGACCATCTCGGAAACTAAAGTAATTTTATTCATCATTACATTTTGTTTCGATTGCATACTGCTTATCAATTTATCGTATCTGACTGCATCATCATTGTCTAAGTTTCCAGTAAGAGCTTTAATTATAGATCCAACAGGATTGATAAGTCCCCTTCTTATTCTCATGGTTGGAATTAATTGATTATATCGTTCTATGGTTATATTCATTATATATTGGGTTTGCAACTCAGCATCAACGAGATTACCATCTAAAACGTAAATGTCTAATTTTTCTTTCATATAACTAAATATTTCATAATACTTTCCTATGTTGTAATCTAAATTCTTATGAACTAAATCTAAGTCTAAGATCTTAACTATGTGCCAATTATAGAGGCTTAGCGAGGCTTGTCCTTCTTTAACGGGAAGAATTCCCGGATTATCTTCAATCCTTTGAAGTTGAAGGGCCAGGCTCAGGGTCGCTTGCATCGCTATCACGAGGGCGAACCTGTGAAGGACGCTTAATGTCTTTAACTGGTATTTTCTTTGTCCTACGGGCTTTATTAGTAACTGTTACCGTATTCCTATTTAGTTCATCTATGACTGTTGCCTTTTGGTATCTAGGCTTATCCTTGCTACGTCTAGTATTGACTCCTTTCATATAAACTTGGTCACCTATCTTTATATCGAATTGTTTTTCTCCGCCGCGTTTTTCTTTAATCTTTTCTTTGGATTGTAACATTTTATTCGATAGATAATTGTATAGATATTTAGTACGCTTAACATGATCGGTTACTAATTGTTGGGTGTAATATTTATTAAAGTCTACCGCAAAAGCGCTTGAGGCGTCGGTATGTCCGAAGGCTACTTCAAATGGAGTTAAGCCAGTAGTGGAATGAATAGATTGGTTGTAAGCCATGATAGCATAAGTCATGACAGATGCGGCGTCAGTTATCTTCCGCTCATACTTAGCTAGTCTATAAATTTCTATGATAGTCGAGTGAAATCTTTCTACCAGTCCCATAGAATTTGGGTTATGTGGCGTCCCTATGTGAAGATCTATTTTGTAAAAAGCTAACATTTCTTTTAAAAGGTTATTATTAAATTCTGATCCTGGGTCGGCACTGACTTTTAAAGGAACACCATATATAGAGAAGTATTTTATTAGTGCTCTTATAACTTCTGGTGTGGATCTATTTGGTACTTCGAATGCTTGTCCTAGCTTACTGAATGCGTCTATTATAGTAAGGAAATATGTTCCTTCTATTGAAAACATATCTATGAATATTTCTTGAAAAGGTCTATTTTGTGTTTGAGTCAACTGTAATTCAGGTTTTAATGGTTTTCTATCGTACTTCATTTGCTTACAAAGGTCACAAGAGTTGATTATACTGGCTACGGTTTGTTCTAAGTTATTCCAATAGTATGTTCTTTTCAAATGGGCTACCGTTTCTTTGATGCCACGATGGCATGTTTTCCCGACGTGGTATTTTAGTACTATTTCTCGTTGTTCGTTTTCATCTTCTACGTAAACGACTCTTTCAGTACATTCGTAGATGTTTACTGCATCCTTTTTAAATAGGGTTGTAATTACTTTTGAAAATTGTTGACGGTGACGTTGATCTTCGAAATAAATGTAATATTTAACTTTTGGGCGAATATAAGCTTTTAAATAATCTTTAATTAAATCTGGGTCATCGATAGGTAAGTGTACTTCGAACACCTTTTGCTTATCTCGGGATAAATCTTTAACGCTATACTCGTTTTTATGCCAAGTATATACTAATATCTGATTTGGTTTAGTATCAATGGCTTCTTTTAATATGGGAATACCAGAAGAATCGGTATTTTCTTCTGAATGGACTGTTGCTAAGGAAGGAGAGTCTGCTCTTTCCGAGGCTGTGACTGTTTCGCTTCCTACTGATGGTATCGAGTAAGGCGATCTAGGTCTAGCCTTAGAATCTCTAGATGAAATGGTAATATTGTCGCTTTCATCTGATGATATGATAATTGTTTTCGAATCGTTAGTATTGACTATCATTGACACGTCATCTAATGCATTGACTTTTATTCTGGATAGTGCATCTGCGTTGCTGTTTTGTCTACCTGGTTTGTATTTGATTTCGTAGTCGAATTCAGAAAGCCTAAGTCTCCATCTGGTGAGTCTACTTCCTGGTTCTTTAATTGAGTTTAACCATACCAGTGGTCTATGATCACTTAGTATAGTGAACTTCTTACCGTATAGGTAAGGCCTAAAATGTTTGCAGGCCCAAACGACTGCTAATAGTTCCTTTTCAATAGCACTATAGCGCGTTTCGGCATCATTAAGCGTTCTACTAGCGAATGCTATTGGTCTATCGCTACCAATAGGTCCTTGAGATAAAACCGCTCCTAATGCGAAGTTAGATGCATCTGTAGTTAAAAGAAAAGGTTTTTCGAAATCGGGAAATTGTAATAGTGGTGCATTGGTAAGCAATTCTTTGCATTTTTCAAATGCATCTATGTATTCTTTAGTAATTGTTACTTTATTTTTCTTTTTAAGGCAATTAGTTAATGGTTGTGTTATTTTTGAGAAATCTTTAATAAATTTACGGTAATAGCCTACTAATCCAAGAAAACTTTTTATTTCCGTTGGTGTTTTAGGCAGAGGGAAATTTAATACAGTTTTAATTTTATCGTTATTTGGTTTGAGACCATCTTTTGTTATAGTGTGACCTAAATATAAAACTTCTTTCTTTAGAAATTCACATTTGTCTAGCGTGACCTTAAGGTTCGTCTCTCTAAGTCGGTCAAATATTTTCCTGAGTTTATCTATGTGTTCTTGTAAGCTAGTTGAATATACTATTATGTCATCTAAATATACTAGACAATGTATGCCTTGTAGTCCGCGGAGCACATTGTCCATAGCTCGTTGAAACGTAGCTGGTGCTGTCTTTAGACCAAAGGGCATTCGAGTAAACTCGTAATGACCTGATTGGGTTGTGAATGCTGTTTTTGGTTGGTCCTCCTTTTCTACCTCCAATTGATGGTAGCCACTAGCTAAGTCTATTGTACTAAAGTAGGATGCTTTTCCTAGTCTGTCGAATAAGTCTGTTATGTTGGGCAGTGGATATTTATCATCAATTGTTATTTCATTAAGTCTCCTATAATCAATAACCATTCGGAATTTTTGTTCACCCGAGGCATCCATTTTTTTTGGAACTAGGTGTACCGGGGCACTCCAGGGTGAGTGTGATTCCGTTATTACTTTGTTTTCTAATAATTTATCGACTTGTTTCTGAATTTCTAGATTTTGGCTAACTGGGTGTCTATATGGGCGTATGTAAATAGGATCTTCATTTTTTGTACGGATTCTATGTTTAACTTGGTTTGTAAATGACAAGGGTACGTGTTCACAGTGGAAGATATCTTTATATTCTGCACACAGGTTTGATATTAGATGTTTTTCTTCTGTATTTAGGTGGTCAAGGCGTAATTTATTTAAGTTTTCATCTAATAATCTATTTAAGTTTGAGGTATCATGTAAGTTATTTATTAGGCAACTATCTTGTAAATCTTGGTGCATATTGTATACAGTAAATGGTTTTTTAAATGTTATAGTCATTTCAGTATCAGTGGTGTTCTGAATAATTGTTTGAGCTAAAGAGTCTACACAGTTAACTAACGCATCGGGCATACGAACTCCTGGGCAGAATTCGAGGCGATTTAAAATTGCATTGCCGTTGTCTAACGTAGTAGGCACCTTAACGCGTGTTTCCGATCTAGGTGGTACTTTTATTTGGTAAGATGGGTTATATAAAATAGGTATTTCTGTAGTATTTGTCCTTAAAACCTGATTTTTCATATCTATGTTAGCTTCTAATTTCTTTAGTAAGTCTGAGCCTATAAGACCATTATATTGTTGATCTACGGTGTATATATAAAACTTATGATGGGTGTCTGTATTAAATGTGTCTGTTAAAGGAACGCATGCGACTTCATTATGCTGACTACGTCCGTGGGTACTGATAACTTCGAATGGTTCAAAGTCTTTATAGTACTGAAAGTACTGGTCAGCTAGTTCTTCGTTAATAAAAGATCGCGAGCTACCCGTGTCTATTAAAAAGAATGCTTCTATTTCTGGCAAATAGATGTGTGGTAGCCTAAGGCCACTATAGTTGAGGTGTATTACTTCTGTTGGTCTGGTACAGAGGCTTCTATTTGAAAATTTTCATTTTCCGTTTCGTTTTGCGTGCAGTTTAATTGATTATTATTATCGTTTTCTAAAATCTGTAATACATTATTTTCATCGAAAGTGCAAACTTGCTCGAAGTTAAAATCGTATTCAATGGGTTCTTCTAACATATTATTTCGTACCGTTCTCATAGATACGTCGGCGTTTTGTCTAGGCGGTTGGTTATTAATACCAAAACGAAATTGTTGGTTACCGGGTTTAAAGAAGCCTGATTGTTTGTAATTGTTCAGTGTTTGTGGAAGCTGCTGCGATTGATGAGGAATCCCGGGTTTTGGATTCGGATTTTGTGGCTGTGGTTTAACTCCCTGAGGTTGGAAACCAAATCGTTGGTTACCCAGGTTAGGGTTCGGTATGAAATTGGGTCTAAATGGGTGTTGCTGCCTAAAGCCTTGGTTATTTGTTGGAATTCCGAATTTGTATTGGGTCGGTGCTGTAAAGTTAGGTTTAGGATTATTAGGTGTACTAGGGTTTGCACTAGTAGTGTTGGTTTTATTTTTATTGCGAGAGTTATACCGCGTTTGAAAGTTGACTTCCTCTGTTACGATACCTAATGCGGATTCTAAATTGTCACATTTATTTAACCTCACAAACTTTATTAAATCCTCTGGTAAATTGTACAGGAAAACGTTTAAAGCTGTGTTGTTATATATTATATATTTTGCTGCCTTTATTCCTTCGTCCGTTATTAAATTCACCTTTGAGATTAGAGAGCTCCTAACATTTTGTATGCGGTGGCAAAAGTCTATGTAAGATTCGCCTTGTTTGATCTTGAGGTTTTCTAACTCTATGCTTAAGCAAGCTTCTGACCTGGGGTCACCGAAATGCTGGACAAAGAGTTCCTTTAATGCCTCCCATGTGGTAACATTTTCGCGTTCGCTTATTAATACAGCAGCTTTTCCTACCAATCTACTTGTTATACAATGGAATAAATAGGTTTGTTGTGCTGGGTTGT